CCACTGAGCCATCTTTCTAGCTCCCGAGTAGTTGTGTTTGTTTGTTTTTTCCCCAAGACAGGGTTTCTCTGTGGCTTTGGAGGCTGTCCTGGCACCCACTCTGTAGACCAGGATGGCCTCAAACTCACAGAGATCCACCTGCCTCTGCCTCCCGAGTGCTGGGATTAAAGGTGAGCGCCACCACCTCCTGGCTATGTTTTTGTTTGTTTCTTTCTTTCTTTTTTAACTGGTGAGAGTTTGTGAGAATTTGTAAATTTGTAAATGGTGAGAATTTGTAAAACATTGGCCATTTCATCTTACACTTGACTCCTTCATGTCCTCAGCCTAATAGACCTCTTGGCTAATTCTAGACCTTTTGAACAATTTGAACCTGCTCTAGAATACTCTTCTAGATTACTAATCAGCCTGCTCTCTTCCTTCAGGCTTCACTCTGTGACATTACAAAGAGGCCTTTCCCTTTCCTGTCTTACTAACTTAACACTGAATTCTTCCCTATCTCTCCAGCACTCTCTATCTGCCCCAACCCTGACTTTCCTTCATTTTCCAGCATATTACTGATTCTTAAAGAATGTTATTATAGCTGGGCCTTGGTGGTACATACACCTTTAATCCCAGAACTCGGGAGGCAGAGGCAGGCAGATCTCTGTGAGTTTGCAGCCAGTCTGGTCTCCAGAGGGAGTGCCGGGATAGGCTCCAAAGCTACAGAGAAACCCTGTCTCGAAAAACCGAAAAAAAAATGAATGTTATTATATATCTTTCATTATGCTGTCTTTCTCATTAGAATATAAATGCAGACACCTAAGGATCTCTTCCTTACCTCCACTGCTGTAAAAGAGCCTAAAAGACTGTCTGACGTATAACGAATGGTCAATATAATCTGTGGCCTAAATTGACAGGCTCAGGATCCACCAGTGGGACCTTATTAGATAGTATAAATATACACATAAGATACACATATGAGAAGGCACTAAATTAGACCCAGAGAATCTCTCTTTAGCATTTTAATCCTTCATTATGTCAAGAAGGTCTCTGTTAGTGCTGGGTTGTCTCTACTACTTTATCATCTTTTACAACTGGAGAGTGGGCTGTAGATTCACAGCCTATTAAAAGTCTTTTACAATCCTAAGGTAAAATAAATAAGCAAATGAATAAATGTTTAGAAAAATCAACATAAAAGACTTTTACACAGAATACTATCTGACTAGAATTTAGTAATTGTGTCTTCTTTTCTTTTCTTTTTTCTTTCTTTTTTTTTTTGGGGGGGGGTTCCAGACAGGGTGTCTCTGTAGCTTTCTGTCCTGGAACTGGCTCTGTAGACCAGGCTGGCCTTGAACTCACAGAGATCCACCTGCCTCTGCCTCCCCAAGTACTGTGATTAAAGGTTTACTCCACCATGGTCAGGCTCGTGTCTTATTTTCATTCTGATTTTTTTCATCACTATTTGTAAGTGTGCACATGTGTACACAAGCCATAGCTTCATCAGCACTGGAGGTCAGAGGACACCTGTGGCAGTTGGTTCTCTCCCCACACCATGTGGGTCTGGAGGATGGAACTCGGAGTATCAGGTGTAGTGGCTGGCAAGCCCACCTGCTGAATCATGTGTCTCATTTAAGTCTCCCAACAGTTCTAGGAGGAAAGAATAAATTTGCAGATAAAGAAACTGTAGGTGAACCTACCATAAGATCCAAAGCTTCCTCCACTCAGATAAACTTCACATAAAACTTGCTATTTTATTAAAATGTGTCTCTTAGTATATTTATGATGGTGTGTAACATATCATTACTACCTAATTGCAGAACGTTCTCATCCTACTTATCACCTCTAGTTCCCCTCCTAACTCTAAGCAATACTAATCTGCTTTCTGAGTATATATTCACCTTTCTTAGACACTGAAAATAAATGGAATTGTACCCGTGGTTTTCTGAGAGCTCTCTCTCTCTCTCTCTCTCTCTCTCTCTCTCTCTCTCTCTGTGTGTGTGTGTGTGTGTGTGTGTGTGTGTGTGTGTTAGTGGGGATTGGACCTATGGCCTCTCACATGCTAGGATACAAAGAAGAGCTATATGTGTTTTTTTTTTGCATCTGGCTTCTTTTAATTAATAAGTCATGAAGATTCACACATAGTATCTGTACCTTAGTACTTTTTATGAACAATTGTGGAGGTAGTTTATGGTGGAGTGCTTACTTAACACATGTAAAACACTAGCTTGTACCACAAAAAGTAAAAAATCTGAACAATACTTTTTATAACTAAATGCTAATCTGTTATGCATAGTCATCACATCTGTTTGTCCATCATCTCATGGATATCCAGGTTGCTTCTACTTTGGGGCTATATGTAATGCATATTTGTGAATAACTTCTTTTTTTTAAGATTTTATTTATTTATTATGTATACAACATTCTGCTTCCATGTATATCTGCACACCAGAAGAGGGCACCAGGTCTCATAACCATGTGGTTGCTGGGAATTGAACTCAGGACCTCTGGAGGAGCAGTCAGTGCTCTTAACCTCTGAGCCTCTCTCTAGCCCGAGAATAACTTCTTGTTTGAACATGTTTCTACTTCTTAGTATATACTGGTAGAATGGGTAAGGTGGTGATTATATATTACACCTTTCTCAGAAATGTTAAACCAAATTCTAATGTTGCTATAACATTTGGATCAGCAGTAGCAACATTTCATTGCTTCATATCCTCCCTAGAACATGAGAGGTGGTTCTTGCTTTTCAAACTTGCCGTTTGAAGAGGAATCATGAAGTTAGTGCTAATTTACAGTCCTCTAATGATTAGTGATATTGACCATCATTTCACATACTTATTGGTCATTTGTATTATCTTTTTTGGAAAGCTCTGATGCAAGTCCTTTGTGAAGTAGGAAAGGAGAAATTACAAGCACCCGAGGAGCAAAAGGAGCCTCTTTCTCAACAGCTAGGAATCACAAATTCAAAAACAATTAGCAACTGCTTGAGGCCTTTCGCCTTTCCCATCTATAAACCTATAATTTTCTCGGACTCTCATCAGAAACTCCATTTATAGTAAAGGGCATGTCCTAACCCCTTGTACAAAACTAGTGGCTCCCGGTTTTATCAGATTGTAATCCCATCTAAGTCATTTCTGAAGCATTCTTAATCTCATTTGTGAAAAATAAAAAAGGATAAGCTTTCTTTCTGAGATGTAACTTCAGAGCCACTAAGAGTTAAATTACTCTTAACTCCTAGGCTTAAAATCTATGCTAAAACTGTCTTTATTTAATAAATGTGTTTCTTTTTGAGAAGCCCACAACTATGCTCTCAGGTGTGCTTTATTTTCCTCTTGAGTGTTTATCTGGCCCCCTCCAGGGGTTCTTCTGTGTAGCCATGGTTGTCTTGGAACTTACTCTATAGACTGGGCTGGCCTCAAACTTAAGCGCCCTGCCTGCCACTGCCTCCCAAGTGCTGCGATTAGGGAGTGCACCACTACCTCTCTGCTCCCCCGCCCCCAACATTTATTTATGGGGGTGGGGTTTTCATAGCATACACGTGGAAGTCAGGGGGCAACCTGTGGGGATGGAATTCAGATGGTCAGGCTTGGTGGCAGATACATTTTACCCCCTGAGCCATCTATGTCAGAACTCTGTTTTTAATTAGCTACAAGACCCCTGATCCCAAACTTCTTTGCTGCATCCATGCTGAGGATTCATAGTCCCTACTGATAGGAACAGTCTGGCTCTATGTCTCTGTTGCTGCTGCAGCCACTAAAACTTTTAATTAAAAATTCTTTTTTTTTAGTTGGGGTCAGGAAGAGAGGGAGAATGTATGTACATCATTCCTGCAGTGTCACAGTGCCTTTGGAGGCCAGAATCGAGTGTCGGATCCCCTGGAACTGAATTTACAGGCATTTGTGGGCGCCTGTTATGAGTGGGTGCTGGGAACAAAACATGAATCCTCTGGAAGCGCAGACCTTAATCACTGAGCACTTTCTCCACCGCCATCACTTAAAAAACATCAGTTCTCTTTTCGTTGAGTTGTAAATTTCCTTTTTAAAATGTTGCATTTGGGGCTCCTGAGACGTTTTAGACGGTAACACTGATGACCTGAGTTGGATGACTAGAACCCACGTGGTAGAGAGAACCAGCACCTGCAAGTTGTCCTCTGACCTCAGATGTGGCACACGCGCTCCCTCCCCACAAACAAGAATTAATATGTAAGGTAACTACAAAATGTAACCTTTGAAACATAAAAAAATGAAAATACATGAAATATAGGACAGTGTAGTATTAGTCACTATTAAAAATGCATTATGAAACCACAGACCAGGCTGTGGGCTATATTCTAGTTACAGCCCAGCTTGCTGGCCCCTTGCAGAAACCAAGCCGGGTGTTACGGTGGCACGCATCTTTAATCCCAGCACTCCGCAGGTATAGGCGGAGACAGTGAATTTCTGTGAGTTCCAGGCCAGCCTGATCTACATAGCAAGTTCCAACCAAGCCAGTGAGGGTGAGACTTCCATCTCAAAAATACATTCCAAGCAAAAACTGCTACGCAAGGCGTGAATGGGGAGAGATAATCTCCCTGGACCTAGTTTCTCTGACTTTACAACGGGAATCAAGTCGTAGTCCCATCCAAACGTTTGGTGCTTGGCGCAAATTACCCGGCACAACCGAAGAGCTGACACAGCGCTTGCTGTGGCTACGCCCTCCACAGAGGTTACCTCTGGGCAGGTGACCCGCCGACAGCTCTTCCTCTTCCGGTTCAGAATGCAGCCAACTGCGCACAACTTTATGTGCACACTTGTCCCACCACGAGCCCACAGGGAGCGCGGGAGAATTGTGACCGCCAGGCCCGACTTCCGTTTCCGGGGTGGCGACGCGGCTTCCGCCGGCGTGCCCTGAGCGTGCTGTGCCCGCAGGTGCGGCGGCCGGAAGGGTCTTTGCTTGCAGCCGGTAACTGGCCGGGGTGGGAGTGGCCGGGTAGGCGGGATGGAGGGAGGGCGGCGGTGGCTTTGTGTGAGTCGGTGCGGAGACGGAGCCTTTGGCCTCTCGCTGGGCTTCATCGCGGGTGTGAGTGGGAGACCGACTTCCCTTCCGCCAGAGCCACCTATCACCTCTCCAACCTGCCTGTAAAGGTGGAGTTGTATGCACAGTGGCACGGTGTAACCGCGGTAACTTCTGTGGCCTGTCCTTGGTAGAGCACGGGGACAGCGAAGTGTCGCAGCTCCTTTGAAAAAAAAAAAAAATCTAATGGTGGATCCTCGATCACCGTAACACCGCTCCAGCCCCTTCAACCTGCACGAACATTCACACAGGAAGCTTGTTTTAGTAAATTCATGTATTTTCAAGATCTCCCCTGGATGCACATCATTGGATTTCACCGTCACCATGTAGCGAGCTTTCAGATCTTTGTAATTTAGATTGTGCAAGTTGAGTTAATCTTTATTGAATTCACTGCCCACTTGACTAGAGGGAGGAAAATAGATACCCTACCCACACACTTAAAAAGTTTTGCTCATTAGCCCAGAACTGTATTATTCTCATTAAAATCTTCCAACTCTGAGAAAGGTTATTTAGCTTCCAGTTTGAGGCTAGGCAGGATTAACTTGCTTTAGGATCATTTGGATCTGTGAATGTGGGAGGCAAGAATTCTAACCGCCAAAGCCTCACAGTCTGAACTGCTAGCCGGAAAGACAAGATGGGAGGAGTTTTTGTTTTTATGTTAACAGCTATAGTTGTAAGATGGTGCTTGCCAGCACAGATGACCCCCCAAACCAAACACTGCATGATATGGAAATGCGCTACTTTGTCTTTTCTCTTAATGTGCCTGCATGTTGCTTGTTTAATCATGTTTCACTGTCTGCATTCCTTGCCCTTATTTATATGACAGTAAAGTTTTAATTCTGGTACATGCATTTGAAATATGAAAAGAGGCTTGAGATTTGTTTATTTTTCTTTTCTGTATTGCCTTTAAAGGGACTTTTAGGCCTTTTAGAAACATTTCCATCATGTCTGACACTCAAGAAGCTATCAGCCAACTCCTGGATATGAACCTTTATGAGAACGAGGAGTCTGTGCCTATGATAGAAGGTGGCCTAAGAAGTGAGTCTGAGCATCTCCAAGTCACTATTGGAGCCACCGTACCTACTGGCTTTGAGCAAACAGCTGCAGATGAAGTGAGAGAGAAACTGCAGTCGTCATGCAGAATCAGCAAAGACCGGGGCAAGATATATTTTGATATTTCAGTGGAAAGTCTGGCTCAGGTTTGAACAAAACAGTATTTAAATTAGTCTTCTAACTTGGGTTTGTAGACCCCCTTGGGAATTCTTTGCTTTATTCTGCTCAAAGTATCTCTCTGGGTTTTCTGTTGTGTACTGATTTGTGGAATTGACTGTATTTTTTTTTTTTTAGTGTACAATGTTAATGGTTGTGATGCCTTTATAATGTGTATTGAGTTTAGTACATTTTAGCTTTAGTTTACTATGGTGATCATAGCAGGCCTTTTGGTGGTGGCACACCCCTTTAATCCCAGCACTCAGGAGGCAGAGGCAGGTGGATCTCTGTGAGTACAGCCTGGTCTGCAGAGCAAGTTCCAGGACAGGCTCCAAAGCTACACAGAGAAATCCTTCCCTGAAAAACCAAAAATAAATAAACAAATAAATAAATAATAAAAATTAGCAGAAGTTAAAGCAGATATTCCATTTCATCTGTGCCACAGACATTCCTGATCAAAAGTAATTATACATGACTGCAGGTGGGAAGTAGGGGTCAGCAAACTGACATCCCATTAGAACAAAAGCTACAAGATATCTCATCGCACAAGTGACATATGGCATAGATTATTGTCTGGAGATTTTTTTTTTTAGGTTTTTGTTTTTATCTTGCCAATGTACCCCAAGCTTGTAGTAGGCACCCACAAAATATTTGTGGTATTTGTTGGTAAGCAAGTATTTTGTTGATGCCCTCTGAAGTTTTGTGAAGATTGGGCACTATTGCTTTTGTCATTAATCATTAGGTTTAAGAAGAAAAATAGTTTGTCTTCAGTATCCCAGCCATCACAAAACCAGAGCTTAAACCCCATGTGGTTTTTGGGGTGGTAGGAGGTTGAAAAAAGAGAGTCTGATGTTAGCCAAGGTTAGCCTAGATTTCTTTACACAACTGAAGGTGACTTTGAACTCTTGTTTACCCTTGCTGTACCTTCAGAATATTGGGATTGCAGGCATGCACTTGTATTATCCAGCTCTCAAATCTCATGCTCTTTGCCATTGAAGTACACAACATACCACTGCAAGCAATGAAAGAAGTATGATAAAGCCCCACTTACGTTTAGATTTTTCCCTTCTCCAAACCAGTATTGTTGCCTACATCTCAAACTGTTGTACTTTTTTTTTTTTCCAGTTTTTCGAGACAGGTTTTCTCTGTGTAGCTTTGGAGCCTATCCTGGTACTTTCTCTGTAGACCAAGCTGGCCTCGAACTCACAGAGATCCTCCTATCTCTGCTACTTGAGTGCTGGGATTAAAGGCGTTTGCCACCACCACTCGGCTCAGGATGAGAAAATTTTATGTTAACATTTTCCCTTCTCCAAACCAATGGGAAAAATTTTAAATATAAAAGATAGATATGAGCTGAGTGGTGGTGGTTCATGCCTTTAATCCCAGCACTCAAGAGGCAAAGGCAGGCAGATTTCTGAGTTCAAGGCCATCCTGGTCTACTGAATGAGTTCTGGGAAGCCAGGGTTACACAGAGAAACCCTGTCTCAAAAAAAACAACAACAAAGAAGATACAAATATGAGGTGCTTTAAAACTATGCCTGTGCCGGGCGGTGGTGGCTCATGCACTCCGGAGGCAGAGGCAGGTGGATCTCTGTGAGTCAAGACCAACCTGGTCTACAAGAGCTAGTTCCAGGACAGCCTCCAAAGCCACAGAGAAACCCTGTCTCAAAAAACAAAAACAAAAACTATGCCTGTGAATCCCAGTACTGGGAAGACTGAGTCAGAGGAATTGTGAGCCAGAGCAACATAGCAAGACTATCTCAAAACAAAAATGACATGTTTTTGTACCTTTTTCTTTTCTTTTCTTTTCTTTAAATATTTAACTGTAGATAGCTATGTTATTCAAAAATATTTTTAGAAGTTTGTTTCTAACATTTGTTTTCCTCCCTAGGTTCATTGTCTGAGATCAGTTGATAACTTGTTTGTGGTTGTTCAGGAGTTTAAAGATTACCAGTTCAAAAATACAAAGGTGAGCTATTCCAAGCATGGAAGTTGATTCTCAGCCATCTTTCTCAAAGAGATTGTTTTCTACTATTTACTACCAGTCTGTCAGTAGCGTTGCTATTGGTTTGTATACAATAAACAAGCAAGGGCCTTGTACATACCAAATATGTGATCATAAGCTTTTTCATTAAGATTCAGAAATCTCTTGACAGTCTATCCCAAAAGCTGCTTTTAAAGGTCAATGTTTAAAAAAAAAAAAACCCTGAAGTTTATAGAAGAAAAAATTGACTAGAGAGTCTTAGATTAGCTTGACCTATAGTACATATGGTTTGAAACTAGAATTGCTTCCAGCACATGAAAGAAAGAGTGCACAGTAACATTCCCTCTCCATTTTGCTTTTGTCCTGTTTTAGCTTCATGTTTTGAAGTGAAGCCAAAGCAACATTTAAATACCCCTTCAGTTGTTAGGACAACGTCTTTGTCTCTAGCCTGTATTTATCATCTGAGTCCTAAATATTCAGCTGCTATTCAATGTGAAGGTTGAAAATAGGCCTCGGTAACACTTCAGTTTTTTTTCCTACATCTCTTTCTGGCCAGGTTTCCAGAATTAAGTGCTTAAAAGGATTTCTGTCAATGTTATGTTAAGTCTGACTTAGAGATAATCTTTCTTAAAAGAACTGTGGTGGTATGCTAATTCTCTGATCTTTATTAATTTTCCAGATTATATTGGATAGCCAAAGTATTCCCAAATAATCAAACTGATCTGGGGGGAGAAAGGGAGTTTAATAAAGCACTTTCCTTGTTAGATCCTAGTAAAAAAATTTAAACCGAAACAAAAAGGCTAATGGAACCCATAGCTTACAAAAAAATTCAAACAGCCCTAAAAGCATAGCCATTGAAAATAGCTAAAAATTTTATTGCCTACAAAACATTTCAACATTTAGAAACAGTAGTCTTGTAATCCTTCAGATTCATTGTTGTCTTTAGTGCTGCCCTGGGCATTCATCCCTTGACCTTTACGTCCTAAGTGAGGACTCCCACTGAACTGCATGCTCAGCCCTAACTCTCGACACTTCTCATAGTTAACTACCAACTGAATGACACCTAAAAAACAAGAAGCAATCTCTTGAAAAGTTACAATTCTAAACATTTGGACAATTTGAAGGTCAGTTTTATGCATGAATAAATGTTATTGGGCATTAAGAAAATTTTTCCCTGTTTTTGTTTTTTGGTTTTTCGAGACAGGGTTTCTCTGGGTAGCTTTGGAGGCTGCCCTGGAACTAGCTCTGGAGACCAGGCTGGCCTCGAACTCACAGAGATCCGCCTGCCTCTGCCTCCCATGTGCTGGGATTAAAGGCGTGCGCCAACAACGTCCAGCCTTTTTCCTGTTTTAAATTTCTTGCCTTTAGCTGTGTGGTGGTGAATGCCTTTAATGACAGTACCTGGGAGGCATAGGCAGTCAGGTCAGCTTGGTCTACAGAGTGAGTTCCAGGACATACTCCAAAGCTACAGAGAAACCCTGTCTCCAAAAACCAAAACAAAAAACTTCTCTTGCCTTTAAATTACCAGGACATTATTAAATTTATTAAATTCTTCGATTTTTTGTCATATTAACATTTGTATAGTTGAGGCAGTTCTGATCTCTTAATTGGAGGTGGTGTTATGAATCTACATGAGCTAACCTCCCAAAATTGCTTTGGAGATCACTTACAAAAGGTTCTTGAAGGCAAAGGACATCACTGCTGGTAAGGTTACCTGCTGCACAAGCTTAAGGACCCAGTGCAGTCCCTAGCACCTGCATAAAAGAGCCAAGCATGGCAGTGTATAGGTAACCCCATCACTGAGGCTCTTTAACCAGCCAGTCTAAGCTGAGCTTCCGTGAGAGGTCCTGTCTGTCTGATTTTTTTTTAAGACAAGAATTCTCTGTGTAGTCCTGGCTGTCCTGGAATTCCCTCTGTATACGAGGCTGGCCTTGAACTCAGAGATCTAGGATTAAAGGTATGTACTACTACACCTGGCTCTTGTGCTATGCTTCTAGATAGTTTAGAACTCATATGTGTGTCCTAGCTATTAGCTGTGTAAATTACAACTTGGTATTATGTATCTAATCTACTATTTTCATCTATTTTTTAATATCCCTGCTATGATCGCAGATGAGATTGTTATGTTTTTCCCCATTTCCACTTCATTCTGATTTTTATTGTTTAACTTCCTTGGTGTTTGACCTGTTAATATACTCTGTCAGCTTGTACTTCTGTCCTTTGACCTGTAAGTATAAGACATGAGGGTTGCAGCATTTTTTTTTTTTAGATGTTTTTTATTTGAATTAGAAACAAGATTATTTTACATGACAATCCCAGTTCCCTTCTCCCTCCTGTCCTCCCCACCCCCCCAACTAAATCCCTCCCTATTACATATCCTTTCTTCTGTTCTTCCCCTGACTCAACCTTTTGGGTTGCAGCATTCTTAAATTACTTCACTTTCCTATTATGTGCTGATGTGTAACTTGCTTCTGTTTTATAGTCACAATCCACACTTTATTTTAGTCTTAAAGCCAAATGGATAAAGTGGTACTTCTTGTCCTTCACTGTTTGCTTGTTTTGTTTTGAAGATGAAGTTTTGCTCTGTAGCCCAGGCTAGACTTGGATTTGAAGAGATTCTCCTGCAGTTGTTAGCATGAACCCCTATTCCTGGCTGTTTACTTGTTATTTTTAAACGGTCCAAGTTGAGGCATGTTTATCTGTGTATGTTTAGTTAGCTGGATTATAAAGAACTAGTCTTCCCTCCTAGAAAGAGCATGGGAGTCAGTATTCATTTTCTTCTGGCAACTAATGTTGTGAAGACTTTTAAGTTCATCTTGATAAATATTTCTCCTTCATTGTTGCTTTCTGTGTGATGACCAAAAAACAAGGAAAAACCCAGATTTCTTTGAAGTCTTTTTAAGTTTGAGTATCTCTTATTGTTGATAGTTCTTGTCAGGACATGTCAGTTCACTTTAACTGTCTAGAAAATACCTTAAATTATTGTAAATTTTAAATCTCTTAGGTAAATAAGTATGTGTTAATTATTTTCCTTTCTTTTCATTTTCTCTTCAGTTCTTTTTAACTCCTCTGTTCAGTGCCATGCTATTTGCTTTCCAGCAGGATTCTATAAATACTGGTTTCAGTGTGGTCTTTACTGGTATTTATGTATACATGAGCACTCTTATCTCCATCTTATTCTCATTTTTATTTATTTTTTATGTATATTGGTGTTTTGTCTGCATGTATGTATATGCACCACATACACATTGCCTGGTACTCAAAATGGGGGGTGGGGGCTGGGGGCTGGATTCCCTAGAACTGAAGTTGTGAATATTGTGAACTACCACATGGATGATGGGATCTAAACTAAAGTCCTCTACAGGTACTATAAGTGATCTTAATCACTAAGTCAACGTTCAGGCTTCCTCCACCTTGATTTTTGTTTGGTTTGTTTGTTTTGGAGTTTTGTTTTTCTTTTTTTCTGCAGACAGGATTTCTCTTGTAGCTTTGAAGCCTGTCCTAGAACTTAATCTATAGATTAGGCTGGCCTTGTACTTGGGGAGATCCACCTGCCTCTGCCTCAGGAGTGCTGGTATTAAAGGCATCTGCCACCACCACCTGGTCCACCTTATTTTTTGAGATAGGGTCTCTTGGTGAACCTAGAACTCACTTTCACCTAGGCTGGCTAGAGAGAAATCCTCAGGGATCTTCATCTCTCCCCTACCCCAGCACTGGGATTATGAGCACAAACACCATGCCTCCTTTTTACATGAGTGTTAAGGAATTGCTCAGGTCCTCATGCTTGTGGGACAGTAACTTTCCCAACTGCCTCATGTGCCTAACTCCCTGATTTAACTTTTATTTATTTTTTTATTTTACATTTTCTTTCAACTCTATACAGACTCCTCCATTTCCTGGTGACTTAGCTGATTTCTGCTTCCAAGTCTGCTTTTTTTTTTTTTTTTTTTTTTTTTTTTTTTTTTTTTTTTTTGGTTTTTCTGTGTAGCTTTGGAGCCTATCCTGGCACTCGCTCTGGAGACTCGCTCTGGAGGCTAGCCTCGAACTCACAGAGATCCGCCTGTCTTTGCCTCTCCAGTGCTGGGATTAAAGGCGAGCGCCACCAATGCCCCCCTCAAGTCTGCTTATTTTTGATGTCATTGTCTTTTTTTGTTTTGTTTTTAAATCATATATTTTTTAAAGATTTATTTATTGATTATGTATACAGTGTTCTGCCAGCATGCCACCACAGAACACCAGATCTCATTATAGATGGTCGTGAGCCACCATGTGATTGCTGGGAATTGAACTCTGGGACCTTTGGAAGAGCAGCAGTGCTCCTAACCCCTGAGTCATCTCTCCAGCCCTGTATATAAATGCATCCTTTTTTTTTTGGTTTGGTTTTTTGAGACAGGGTTTCTCTGTAGCTTTAGAGCTTGTCCTGGAAGTTGCTCAGTAGACCAGGCTGGCCTAGAACTCACAGAGATCTGCCTATCTCTGCCTCCCAAGTAAATTGTATGTCTTAATACTTTTCTGTGGTGACTTTTTTTTTTCCTATTATTTCTTTCCTTTCCTGCTTTCCTGCTTCTTTTTCCTTTCCTCTTCATCCTTTAGTTTATTTTATAAGTTCTGTGTTGATAAGTTTTGAACTTACATATGAATGAGGCAGTTACTCTTGGGCCCACCCTTTTTAAGAGGATCCTGAGGGTGAGACCCTGAGGGTTTTTTAGACCAAGAAGAGCCCTCCCTGGACTGATTGGGGATGAACAAGTCTTTTCATCCTTTCTTTTTATTGTTTTGTTGAAGTATAAATTTTACTCCACTGAATAAATTGTTTTAATCTTTACTTCCTCTCTGGCCTCATGGAAACAGAAGCTTTAAGAGCAAAGCACACTTAACTCTTACCAACTGTAGACAAAAAAATATTTGAAAAAAGTGAATTGATGTAGCATGCTAACTCCTAGGTTGGAGTATAAAATGTGGCTGAAATGACTGAGAAACTGAGTAATTTCATTTCCTAAAGATTTGTTTAGTTTTGTTTTAGACCAGGCTGGCCTCAAGCTCACAGAGATCCATCTGTCTCTTCCTGGAATTAAAGGTGTGTACCACTACACCTGGCTTCTGGAGCTTTAAGTCTTTAAACGTCTATACTGTGGTTGTTTATATAAATTCTATAGCTCTGTTTGACGAGTGCTTGCTCTATTGGATAGCAGCCTCCTGTACTTCACATTTAAATATCATTCAGTAAGTGCTTCTTTGTTCTTTACTTGTGTAGTACTAGCAGTTGAATTTAGGACCCCATACACTGTACCACTGAGTTAGATCCCTTGGCTCTCTTACTTTTATTTTGAGATAGGGTGTTAATAAGTTATCTACGTTGGCCTTTAACCCACTCTGTAGCTCAGGAAAGCCTGAACTTGCAACTTTGCCGTAGCTGGGATTACAACCCTGTGTCAATAAACCCACCCTGGGCAGCTGCATATTAACTACTTGTTTTATGCCTCTGCTGTTGTAGGTGTGTGGCCTGTAGCAAAGGTCAAGGTAGTTTGGGTCTTTCCACCATGCATTTACAGGAGTGGCCTTGCTAGTAAACAGTACATAAACCCAGTAACCATAGATTATGCTTAGTCTGTAGGCAAACTGAAAGATAAGAATGTGACAAGAAAGGCACCACCAAATTTACTTTTTTAAAAAGATAATCATATGAACCAGGTGTGGTGGCACACAGCTTTAATCGAAGCACTTAGGAGACAGAGGCAGGTGGATCTCTTATGAGTTCTACAGCCAATTCCAGGACAGCCAGGGCTATAGAGAAGAGACCCTGTCTCAAAAATACAAAACAAAAAGATAATCAAACTATTTAAAATCTGGACAGATGACATTTTTACTTATTTTATTTATTTATTTATTTATTTATTTATTTATTTATTTA